ATAATAAAATCAATTGAAAATTCTGTTAAAATCTTTAAAATACCTAATATCGGAAGGTGCCGATATATGGGGGGATATACGCTATTGTGGACCTATATAGACAAATCTATATCTGGGGGTAAAGTACTCACAAGGAACTCCTTTTGTGGAATTTCAGACAATTCATTTGAAAAATGTGACAAAAACCATCAAAATACCGAATACCGTGGGGGTACCGTTATATGGGGGATATACGATATCGTGGACCTGTATAGACAATTCTCTCTCAGTGGGTGAAGTACTCACAAGGAACTACTTGTGTGGATTTTAAGACAATTCCATTGAAAACTGTAGCTAACATTATCAAAATACCGAATATCGGGGGGTACAGCTATATGGGGGATATACGATATCGTAGACCTATATAGAGAATTCTTTTTGAGGGGGTAAAATGCCCACAATGGACTCCTTTTGTGGAATTTCAGACAATTCCATTGAAAAATGTGGATAAAATCATCAAAATACCAAATATCGGGGGTACCGTTATATGAGGGCTATACGATATCGTAGACCTATATAGATAATTCTCTGCCGAAGTATAAAGTACCCACAAGGAACTACTTGTGTGGATTTTCAGACAATTCCATTGAAAAATGTGGCTAATATCATCAAAATACCGAATATCGGGGGTACCGTTATACGGGGGCTATACGATATCATGGACCTGCCTGCAGACAAAAGAGAGATTTGTGCAAAATTTTAGCTTCCTATCTTAATTCGTTTAGACTGTAGCGTGATTACAACATACGGACAGACGGACGGACAGGGCTAAATCATCTTAGAATTTTACGCTGATCAAGAATATATATACTTTGTTGGGTCTAAAATGATTATTTCGATGAGTTACAAACGGAATGACGAACTTAATATACCCTCCATACTTTTTTGGTGGAGGGTATAAAAATAGGAAGAAGTTCCTCAAAGCGCTAGCCTGCAGCTCTTGGAGTGGGGACAAGGAAACCTTGTTGACCTCTTATAATGTGATAGGTCGGCCTGTGGTATACTAGTGCTACGCAGTGGAAGCACATCCAGACCTGCCAGAATTCTGCCCTGAGAACTGCGACAGAGTGTCTCCTTATGACACCAAGGCGAAAGTCCTTCCCTTACGTCAACATAAGCATATGCTTTAGTTGCAGTATCTGGTGGATCCAACCCCACCCAGGCGTGTCAGGAAGGACATACTCGATCTAGAACATACTCGATCCAACGCTATAAGACAGAACCTCTAGATCAAAAAGCCTATCAGGCAGGTCTGAGTGGCATTCATACCGTTGCAGTCGCAGATGCCATCAGCAATTATAGGATGAATGTCGTCATCGGAGTCTACCCCCATATATTGCAGTGTAGTTTTGGCGTAATTTCGTTCAGGATGGTGCAGTCGTCTCAATTCGTATTGGGCACGAATTAACGAACATGTGCGTGACGTCTGTCCTGTGTATGATACAGGCCCGAACAATACGCTACACCTCTTTAATTGCACCGCCAAACTCACTCCAGAAGATCTCTGGTTACATCCCATTGAGGTTCAAGCTCCAGCTTGAACCAGACTAGCAGAATCTAAACATCTTCATGTATTACTTCTACAACAACAACAACTAAATTGACACCCAGTTTACGTCCTCGGGCACATTAACGATAAATCACACAGTTTGTTATTATATCCTCCACCTTGAAAAGGAGGGTACATTAATTTTGTCATTCCGTTTGTAACATCCCTAAATATTTGTCCACTTTTTCGAGCACTGCTGGTCGTATATCACGAACAATGCTGGCCTCCAAGGCGTCAATTGTTGCTGGTTTACCAGCATAAACCAGTGACTTCACGTAGCCCCACAGGAAATAATCGAGAGGTGTCAAATCGCACGACCTTGGAGGTCAATTGACAGGTCTATTTCTCGAAATCAACTTATAACTTATCGCCAAATTTTGATTTCAATAAGTCGATGATTGCGTTTGCCGTATGGCACGTAGCGCCATCCAGCTGATAGAACATCTCCTCAGGATCAATGTCATCCATATTTTTAAACAAAAAATCATTGATCATGGTGCTGCAACGATCTCCATTGACCGTAACGCGAGCTCCGGCCTCATTTTTGAAGAAATAAGGTCCGATGATGCCACCAGCGTGAAAATCGCACCATACGGTGCATTTTTCTGGATGTAATGGGGTCTGTAGGGTCTCTTGTGGATTGATCCCACTCCATATGTGGCAATTTTGCTTATTAACAAACCCGTCAAGCCAAAAATGCGCCTCATCGCTGAACACAATTTTGAGATAAAACAACGGGTCATTTATCAACTGCACTAGAGCCTGAGTAAATGTTGATAATTTCGTAGCGTTGTTCAAGCTTGAGTCTACTCATGATGATTTGTCAGAGTATACTGAAACAAATAAAAAAAAAAGTTTCATCAAAATTTAATTTTTTGTGTTAGGATGGTTGGTATTGAAAATCGGTCCATGTTTTGGTATAGCACTCATATAACGGTACCTCCCGATATTCGGTATTTTGATGATGTGTGTTACATTTCTTTACGGATTTGTCCAAAAATTGGTATTTGTAGTCCACAATGGGTTCTACCTCCGGTGGCGGCGCATAGTATATATAGGTCACGTCTTGTAATAGCCCCCATATAACGGTACCTCTCGATATTCAGTATTTTCATTATTTTTGCCACATTTTTCCAAGTTGTAATCAGGCTAGAGTAAAGATAGAAAGATAAAATTTTCTACAGATCAGTCTTTTGTCTGCAGGCAGGTCAAGTTCGAAGATAGGCTATATCGGTCCACGATGTCGTATAGCCCACATATAACTGTACCCCGATATTCGGTATTTTGATGATGTTAGCCACATTTTTCAATGAAATTGTCTGAAAATCCACACAAGTAATTCCTTGTGGGTACTTTATACCTCGGCAGAGAATTATCTATATAGGTCCACGATATCGTATAGCCTCCATATAACGTTACCCCCGATATTTGGTATTTTGATGATTTTATCCACATTTTTCAATGGAATTGTCTGAAATTCCACAAAAAGGAGTCCCTTGTGGGCATTTTACCTCCTCACAAAAGAATTGTCTATATAGGTCCACGATATCGTATAGCCCCCATATAACCATACCCTACCATATTCTGCATTTTGATGATTGTAGCCAAATTTTTCAATTAAATTGTCTGACAATCCACAAAAGAAGTTCCTTCTAAGTACTTTACCCTCTGGAAGAGTATTGTGTACATAGGTCCACGATATCGTATATCCATATAACGGTACCTCCCTATATTCGGTATTTTGATGATTTCAGCTACATTTGTCAATGAAATTTTCTGAAAATGTACACAAGAAGTTCTTTCTAAGTACTTTACCCCCTGGAAGAGAATTATCTACACAGGTTCACAATATCGTATAGCCTCCATACAAAAGTATCCCCCCCCCTTTATCGTATTTTGATTATTTTAGGGACATTATTCACCGGAATTGTTTCAAATTTGGTATTTGAAGTTTGTAATGGATACTACAGCCTAAGACAGAAAATTGTCTGCACAGGTTCACGTCTTCCTATAGCCCCCATATAACGGTACCTCCCGATATTCGGTATTTTGATGATTTTAGCGACATTATTCATCGGGTTTTTTCAAATTTCGTATTTATAATTCGTACAGATCATGACAAAAAATCGCGTATGCCAGCCCACGTCATCGGAGAGGTCCTCCCAAAGTTCGATATTTTGATGATTTTAGGGACATTATTTACAGGAGTTGTTTCAAATTTTCAAATCTATGCCCGAAAATTGTACAGGTCTTGGTATAGACCCTTACATCCTTATATTCGGTATTTTGACGATTTTAGGTACAATATTCGCCGAAATTCTTTCAAATTTCGTATTTGAAGTTCCTAATGAATACTACAGCCTGTGACATGAAATTATCTATGCAGGTACAGGTCTTCGTATAGCCCCCATATAACGGAACCTCCCTATCTTCAGCATTTTGATGATTTTAGCGACATTATTTTAATGACTTATGACAAAAGTTGCCAACGCAGGTCCACGTCTTCGTATAGACGCCAATATAACGGCTATATTCGGTATTAATAAGATTTTAACAGAATTTTTAACGGATTTTATATTTTTTAATTTCCAAATTCTTTGCAAATGGTGGATGGTATTCAAAGTTCGGCCGGGCCGAACTTCTTATGTTACATAAATTGTCTGAAATGGCCAATTCAAGTATACATTTTTGCAAAGAGTTCACCTTAAATTAAATGATAATAATTCCATAAATTGAAATATAAGGTATGAATCATATTGAACCTAAAAATAGAATAAATTATAAGTTCCTAAAGCTTTATTTATAAAAAAATAAAGAAACATTAAAAATTAAATAACCTATTAAACCGCTATTTTACAAATAATGTTAATAACTTTAAATTTGAAGATAAAATATTAACTTCTGGAGTAGGAAAAATTTATCAACCTAATATACTTCCTTATTTCTATAACTTAAAGTATACATATTTGCAAAAAGTTCGCCTTACTTAGAAATACTCTATACATACTCCACACAGTTCATAGTCCCAGCAGCTGTATTGATGCGTCTATCTATATTCTTCTACAATGATACTCTATAACGCTATCCATAATTAGCAGGGCTACCCGTCACAAATATGCATTTATACTTGAAATGTGTGTGAATTTATCGGATTCCGAGCGGTTTGAATTTAAAACTGGAAGGAACTACTATTTAGGAGCTATATCTTAATCTAAATCGATTTACCCTAAATATTTAAGGGGGATATTTAAGTTAGGTATGACCTCTCGTACCAAATATCATATTCAAAGTTATGAACGATTACGATTTTTTCTTTTATCTTCTCAATCGAGCAAAGCGCTCCAACAGAAATGCACACCTTGCCAACCCGTTCGTTTATTTCTAAACTTATTCTTCCACGCACATTGTTATTCTACAACAAACTTAAATCCTCTTCCATTTCCTTCCGGAATTTATTAAACAAATCGTCGAGCATATATTTGGCATTTGTCACCGCGATGTAACCTTCGCGGGCGCATCCATTTACTGTGCCCGGCGAAAAACTGATAATACCCAATAACGAGAATAATGCTTCTCCATAGATTTTTAGTTCCTGGGCAAAACCACTGCCGCTGTCACCGCGACAAACACCCTCGTCGTGACCGTTGTATAGACAAAATTTATCCGGCGAAAGAGTGGCACCAATCGAATCGTGCAATATACATTCATTATATCCTGCCGATGTCATAGTCACTTGTTCCAAACTGTTGTTCAGCTCATTATAACCGGTCACAATGCCCGTGATATTCGAAGGCACAAAATAACGGGTAAGGCCACCGGCAGGTTTATAACATATAGCCGATACATTTTCATTATAAATTAATGACAAATCCAATTTGATAACTGCAATATCGGCAAAGCTTCTATTTCGGGGGCCTTCAAATCTAAAAATATAGGAAATAAAAAATAAATAAATATATATAAATATATGAAATATATACAAAACCAGTAACAAAAGAATTAATTTGAAGTAGATCATACCACCGATCAACATTTGGCTTTAGAGCAGTTATAATTTGATTTCAGGGGGAACAAATATTAGGAGGCTATACAATTGCTATAAAGTGCATGATATCACTTCGAGAAGGATTATAATAAAAAAATACATCTCGGTGCCGAGTTCCACAAAATTCGCTTCATTTGGGCTGATATTAGCCATTAATTGCACAATAAACTTGAAATCGGTATTTCCAAGCTCTATAAGATATCTATATATATGGGAGCTAAAGCTTGTCTGAAAATTTTATACATTTGCTTCTAGGCTGAATTCGGTCGAATCGCCCAAATTTCAGGTCATTTGGACTGATAGGGACCATTTGGTGCACAATTAACCAGAAATCACCCGAATGGAGATACATATATGGGAGATATATCCAAATCTGAACCGATCTTAAAAAAAAATTGCCAGAGGTATTTCTGGGCTGCATCCGATATCTGGTACCAAATATCTTTAACGTGAAGTGCATATTACGAATGTGGAGAACTTAAAACCCCAAATCGGATGAAACATATATATGGGTGCTAAAGTTATATCTGAACCGAATTTTATATACTTGCTTCTCGACTAAATTCGGTTGGATGTACCAAAGTTCAGGTCATTTGGTTACGATATCGTAGACCTATACAGACAATTCTCTTTCAGGGGATAAGGAACTCATCAAAAACACCGTGTGTGCATTTTCAGACAATTCAATTGAAAAATGTCGCTAAAATCAGCAAAATACCGAATATCGGGGGGATTTACGATATCGTGAAACGATATAGCCCATCTTCGAACGATATAGCCCTTCTTGCACACAAACGACAGATCTGTGCAAAATTTTAGCTTCCTATCTTAATTCGTTTTGACTGGTGCGTGATTACAATAGACGGACGTACGGACAGATTTAGAATTTTACGCTGATCAAGAGAATATATACTTGCTTGGGTCTAAAATTATTAGTTATTATGTTATTATTAGTTCGATGAGTTAAAAACGGAATGAAGAACTTAATATACCCCCCCCCCCCCCCCCCCCCCATACTATGTATGGTGGAGGGTATAAAAAATAACGAACTTACCGCACACTTACCTCACGCTACATTTACATTCAAACTTATGGTATGCTCATGGGAAACTCCCTTATACCAAACATAGCGGATATTATTTTCGATACACTTTTAGATAACATAATTTGTGAACTTGACCAAAAATAACTTGGACGAAATTTTCTGCGATAATGAGTAGAATGTTGCAAATGAATGTCGCTCTACATTCATTTAACTCATACCATAATAAAATAAAATCGAAAATGCAGACTTTGATATGAAAATAATAGGAGAGCAGCAACATGAATAACAATGGAGCAGGATGCATGCTGAATTATTGCACAGCCAATAATTTAATTATCAAAAAACGCTGATCAGGAGGAGAAGAGAAAATGCGGAAAACAAGAGTAATAACATAGATACGAGGGCGATTCGGAAACTTCTTAGCCTATCAATGAAAGAGAATTGTAACATTTTTCCGATTCTTTTCCGAATTAGGAAAATAAGTCTGCACAAATTTCCGATTCTGATGTTGAATTCAGAACAACATTATGTGAGATTGAAAGTTTTTTCGGAAAAATATCGCAAAGAATATTACATTTCCCTAACGAATTCAATAAGAGTTTGAAAAAAAAAGAAACAAGTAATAAAGCAGCTGTAGTTCCCATTTAAATTAAATTCGAAATTTGCTACAATTACGGTGACTTATGTCGCAAAAATCATGAAAATGCCGAGTATGAGGAGGTACCGTTGTCTGCGGGATATACGAAGACGCGGACCTGAATACAATTTTTTTTTCATAGGCTGTAGTACCCATTACGAACTTCAAATACGAAATTCAAAATAATTCAGGTAAATAATGTCGCTGAAATCATCAAAATACCGAATATCGGGAGGTACCGTTATATGGGGGCTATACGAAGACGTGGACCCGCACAGACAATTTTCTGTCATAGGCTGTAGTATCCATTACGAACTTAAAATACCAAATTTGAAACATTTCCGGTGAGTAATGTCGCTAATATCATCAAAATACAGAATATCTTGGGGTACCGCTATACGACGATATGGACCTGCACAGACAATTTTCCATCATAGGCTGTAATATTCATTACGAACTTCAAATAACAAATTTGAAACAACTCCGGTAAATAATATCGCTGAAATCATCAAAAAACCTAATAGCGGGAGGTACCATTATATGAGGGCTACACGAAGACGTAGACCTGCACAGACAATTTTCTGTCATAGGCTGTAGTATCCACTACGAATTCCAAATACCAAATTTGAAACAATTTCGGCGAAAAATGGCGCTTAAATCATCCAAATATAGAAAATAGGGAAGTACTGTTATATGGGGGATATGCGATATCGTGGTCCTATATAGACACTTCTCTTCCAGGCAGTAAAGTGCTTGGAAGTAATTTCTAGTATGGATTTTTAGACTATTCCATTGAAAAATGTACTTAAAATCATCAAAAAAAGTTATTCGTGATGGAATTCAAACGTGATAGTGTGATTTCTTTTTATTTGGCTGGAAAACCCACAAATGGCTATCGTTAGAGCACTCTAGCATTTAAATGTGTCCATGATATTGGTAGCGCAGCCCGACGTCAAGGAAGTGGACGGAAGAAAATAGCAACATCAACAGAAATGGTTCGAAACGTAAAGAAGTGACTTGATCAAACCCGCGTCGCAGTGAGCTGAACATATCGCAAAATTGCATTCGGCAAATATTAAAAAATTAGCTCGGGGTAAAGCCATTGAAATTTTTAAAAAAAGGGCAAGAACTTACACCGCAACAGAAAGAAAATTGACTCAAAAAAGCTAAAGAGTTGCTTAGCTTGACCGAAAGTGGTGAACTGCTAAATTTGGTTTTCTCCGATGAGAAAACATTCGTTGTCCAGCAGTTTGTAAACAAACAAAATGATCGTCAGCTGAAAATGTGCACCTTCCGTTGGCCACCAGAACTCAAGCGGCGTCCATGGTGATGATGTGGCCCCCTATAACAGCCGGTGGTCGCTCTCCGCTTGAATTAATCGACCGTGGCATCAGAATTAATGCCGAATATTATAAATTAAATATTCGGGAGGGTGCATTAAAGCCTTGGGTACGCAAACATTTGGCCGCAGACCTTGGACATTCCAACAGGACTCAGCATCATCGCACTTAGCACGAGCTACCCAAGAAAGGTTACAAAATGAGGTTCCTCGCTTCATTTCCAGCCACCAATGGCCACCAAAATCTCCGGATACCAATCCGTGGGACTGTGGTATCTGGAGTATTTTGGAAAGCAAGGTTGGCACTAAAAAATACCAAATTGTCGATCACCTCAAGCAAGCGCTTCGCTGGGAATGGGCTAAAATACCGCAGAGCAACATTCGGGCAGCGTGTGACGGTTTTATTGGATGTTTGACATTTACCGACATTTTTTGCTTTCATTCAATAAAATTTAAAGAAAATATAAAATGACGGCGTTTGACTTTGATGCAGTTTTCTTATCTCACCCTGTACTTTTGAGTAAAATTTTATCAATCTACTTCCTTTCGTTCGGAAGCTAGAGCGATTTCCACAGACAGACGGACATCGCTAAATCGTCATAGAATTTTATGCTGATCAAGAAAATATAATTTGTGGGGTCTAAAATGTATGTTTGGAGGTGTTACAACGGAATGACAAACTTAATATACCCCCCATACTATGGTGGACGGACGGACAGGACTAAATCGTTAAAAAGGAAAAGAAAACACAGCTTTATCTCAGCACGCAAAACAGTTGGGCAGAACTGACTATTCATTTTGAGAGAGTAGTTGTCGAGCATTCGCAAGTGAATCAAATCACACTCATGCCTTCTCAAAACACAACAAACTCACATACCGATGACTGTGTGGATGTTTCTCCGACTTACATAACTCCATGAGTTCTTAGTTGAAATGTGTTTTTTTATGAAAGGCAAGAGATGATTGTAATTCTCATTCACTTGTGAATGCACGACACTTATGAGAACATGACATATATATACTTACCTCTCGGATACGTGAATAATCTGAGCATTTCTTATTTGTGGTTTACCCGTCTCAGGGTCATTGAAACCTCGTCGATATTTACCAGCAACAAATTGAAATTGATTTTGACTGAACAATTGCCTCAACTTGTTATCCCAAAAACAGTGAGCAGCTATAAATAAAAATAAAATATTGCTAATATGATGATAGAAATGCATGACATTGATGCCCCGCTCCTAACTTACCGGATAAAATAAGCCGTGGTGTGATTATGGAACCACCACAAATAAAAACCCACTCATTCTCTACTCGCTGATATATCGAAACATGCCATGGAACCTTATTGGGATCAGTTTGAATTCCACCCTTGGTCAGGGGATATATGCTCACCAACGGATGGCCGCAGTCCTGTATGCACGCTACTCGTACTTGATCAAATGTTCCATTGGGCAGGCATGTTAAATTCTGACGATTTGTGAGAAATTCTGTTTGCCAATTGAAATCTCTTTTGAAACCCGAAGCACAATTGATTTCGACTACACTGCCGATGGGTATACCAAATCTATGAAGAGAAGACTCTACAAATTGGCCATACGGTGCGAAGACATTATAAATTGTTGAGAGTCCTTCCAAGTGTTGGGAGTCGCAAACCACTAGTGAGAAAAATAAAAAAAATATTACAACAAATAACAATAGCGAATCACCACTATATTCATCTATTTTAAGAATCAGATAAAATTTTAATATAAAAATTTACTGTTTTAAAAAGCCAAACATTAACAAAAAAATGTGTGAAATAAAAAGTTATACAGGGTTGCCCATATTCGACAGACCTTTGGGCCAATCGACGAGGCTTGTCCGTTGGTAACATTCTTTAAATCAATTGAATTTTGTACGGGAACAAATGCAAATCAATGCGAATAATCCGTTGTAAAGTGGACCGAGCCATGCCCAACTGCTGAGAACGGCGTTTTTGGGGACCTCTCAACACTGGCTCGTACGGCAGCGATATTCTCGGCCGATCGCCTTGGTCGACTTTTATATGGCCTCTTCGGATTAGAAAGAGCCTTACCAGTCGAAAATTTTTCGTATAAACGTCTAATGGTGTTCTTAGAAGGCACACTTCTCACATTTTTTTAATGTTTTAAAATCACGTTGAATTGACTTCTTGTAAATTTCAACTATTTCAGAGTGCTCGCGTGGCGTGTATTGGTTCATGGTAAAAATCTGCTTGGACTGACGCTTCAAACGCGGTATGTCATCTCTGTCAAAAGTTATGGCATTGCCAGATGGGTCCGTCGAATATGGGCAACCCTGTATAGGAATTTACACTACTTTGGTATTTCTGCGCCACCCTGTATTGGGAGCTCAAACACGTAGCGACAACGCTCCTGCGGGTGGTACTGAGCGACTTCGTTTAGTTTTTGACACCAGGAAAGTCAGGAGTAGCAGGGCGCTTGAGAAAGAAAGAAAGAAGGAAGTCACTAAGACATCCATCCCGAGAACCGTTCTACTCCTCGACTCAACCAAGATAATTTCCCACTTATAATATATTCCTAGGGGAAACTGCTATAACCCCATATAAATAATCCCCCTCTCACTTTTATATCCTCGATGTCCGTCCCTCGAAACGAAATGACGTAGGTTGATAAAATTTTACTCAAATGTATTTTATGTCTGCAGGACTTTTGGTATTGAAAATGGGCCATGTAGGTCCACGTCTTCGTATAGCCCCCATATAACGGTACCTTCCAATATTCGGTATTTTGATGATTTTGGCGACATTATTCACCGGAATTGTTTCCAATTTGGTATTTGAAGAAGAAAATTGTCTGTGCAGGTCCACGTCTTCTTATAGCCCTCATATAACGGCTCCTCCCGATATTTAGTATTTTGATAATTTTAGCGACATTTTTTACCGGAATCGTTTCAAATTTGGTATTTGAAGTTCGAAATGGACACTACAGCCTATGCCAGAAAACTGTCTGTGGAGGTCTACGTCTTCGTATAGCTCCCATATAAGGTTACCTCCCGATATTCGGTATTTTTATTATTTTAGCGCCATTATTCACCGGAATTGTTTCAAATTTTGTATTTGAAGTTCGAAATGGACACTACAGCCTAGGACAGAAAATTGTCTGTGTAGGTCCACGTCTTCATATAGCCCCCATATAACGGTACCCCCAGATATTCGATGTTTTGATAATTTTAGCGACATTTTTTGCCGGAATCGTTTCAAATGTGATATTTGAAGTTCGAAATGGACACTACAGCCTAAGACAGAAAATTGTCTGTGCAAGTCCACGTCTTCGTAGAGCCCCCATATAACGGTAACTCCCGATATTCGATGTTTTGATAATTTTAGCGACATTTTTTACCGGAATCGTTTCAAATTTGATATTTGAAGTTCGAAATGGACACTACTCCTAAGCCAGAAAACTGTCTGTCTTCGTATAGCTGCTATATAACGTTACCTCCCGATATTCGGTATTTTTATTATTTTAGCGCCATTATTCACCGGAATTGTTTCAAATTTGGTATTTGAAGTTCGAAATAGATACTACACCCTAAGACAGAAAATTATCAGTGCAGGTCTACGTCTTCGTATAGCTCCCATATAACGGTAACTCCCGATATTCGATGTTTTGATAATTTTAGCGACATTATACATCGGAATTGCTTCAAATTTGGTACTTGAAGTTCGAAATAGATACTACACCCTAAGACAGAAAATTATCAGTGCAGGTCTTCGTCTTCGTATAGCTCCCATATAACGATACCTCCCGATATTCGGTATTTTGATGATTTTAGCGACATTATTCACCGAAATTATTTCAAATTTGCTATTTGAAGTTCGAAATAAATACTACAGCCTAAGACAGAAAATTGTCTGTGCAGGTCTACGTCTTCGTATAGCTCTCATATAACGATACCTCCCGATATTCGGTATTTTGGTGGTTTTAGCGACATTATTCACCGGAATTGCTTCAAATTTGGTATTTGAAGTTCGTAGTGAATCTTACAGCCTATGACAGAAAATTGTATGTGCAGGTCCACGTCTTCTTATAGCCCTCATATAACGGTACCTCCCGATATTCGGTATTTTGATGATTTTAGCGACATTTTCTACCGGAATCGTTTCAAATTCGATATTTGAAGTTCGTAATGGATACTACAGCCTAAGACAGAAAATTGTCTGTGCAGGTCCACGTCTTCTTATAGCCCTCATATAACGGCTCCTCCCGATATTCGGTATTTTTATTATTTTAGCGCCATTACTCACCGGAATTGTTTCAAATTTGATATTTGAAGTTCGAAATGGACACTACAGCCTAAGACAGAAAATTGTATCTGCAGGTCCACATATTCTTATAGACCTCGTATAACGGTACCTCCCGATATTCGGTATTTTGATGGTTTTAGCGACATTATTCACCGGAATCGTTTCAAATTTTATATTTGAAGTTCTTAGTGGATCACTACAGCCTAAGACAGAAAATTGTATCTGCAGGTCCACATATTCTTATAGACCTCGTATAACGGTACCTCCCGATATACGGTATTTTAATGGTTTTAGCGACATTATTCACCGGAATTGCTTCAAATTTGGTATTTGAAGTTCGAAATAGATACTACACCCTAAGACAGAAAATTATCAGTGCAGGTCTACGTCTTCGTGTAGCTTCCATATAACGATACCTCCCGATATTCGGTATTTTGACAATTTTAGCGACATTTTTTACCGGAATCGTTTCAAATTTGGTATTTGAAGTTCGTAATGTATGCTACAGCCTGTGACAAAAAATTTTCTATGCAGGTCCAGGTCTTCATATAGGCCCCATACATCAGTACCTCCCTATATGCTATATATTTATATATATTTAGATGATGTAGATGATTTTAGAGACATTGTTTACCGTTTATTTCATGTTTCGAATTTAAATATGGTAATGGGTTATGACAAACAAAGCTTATGTAGGTCCCTGTCGTATAGACCCCAATATATATATTCGGCATTTTTAAGATTTTATGATTTATTTCAACTTACCTTTGCATTTAGGAAATTCAGCTGAAAAGAATCCATCACCACACAATACACTCCCCAAGAAGGCTGTTAAATTATTCATTTTGCACTCCACGTGCACAACCTCACCTTCTTCGACAAAATCTCCTGGTTCCATTGTTTTGTTTCCGTGTGTATGACGTTTTACAACGATGTTTTGAAGAATAAATGGTATCTCACAGCGTTTTTTGCCGTTTTTAGATAAGACATGATATGGGCCAACAACTAAGACTGGAAAAACTATTTTTTTAGGAATGGAAAAAAATTGCATCTATTATATGTGTAATGCCGAAAAACTATAGCTACAATTTAATGTCTATTTAGCGATATCCGTCCGTCCATCTGTGGAAATCACTCTAGCTTCCGAACGAAATGAAGTAGGTTGATAAAATTTTACTCAAATGTATATTATGTCTGCAGGACTTTTGGTATTGAAAATGGGCCATATAGGTCCACGCTTTGGTATAGCCCCCATATAATGGTACCTCCCTATTTTCGGTATTTCGATTATTTTAACAACATTATTCACCTGAACTGTTTCAAATTTGGTATGTGGAGGTCCAGATCTACGTCTTCGTGTAGCCCCCGTATTACGGTACCTCCCGATATTCGGCATTTTGATGATTTTAATTGTTTCAAATTTGTAATTTGAAGTTCGTAGAGGATCTTACAGCCTATGACAGAAAATTGTCTGTGTCCATGTCCACGTTTTAGTATAACCCCCATGATACCTCCCTATATTTGGTATTTTGATGATCTTTAACGGATTTTATTGTTTTTGAGAATTTGCCAAATTCATCCCAAATGGTGCAGGGTATTCAATGTTCGACCCGGCTGAACTTAAAGCTTTTTATACCCTACACCACAAGGTCAGGGTATTATGTCTTTGTGCATTTGTTTTTAACAGGCAAAAGGAAACAAGATAGACCCATAGTTCCTTTTGATGATCTGCATAGAATCACATTCTGAGTCAATTTATGTATGTCCGTCCGTCCGTCTGTCCATGTATTTTTGTAAACAATGTACAGTTCACATTTATTGCCCTATCCAAATGAAATTTTGCACAAATCATTTGTTTGGCCCAAGGACGAACCCTATTGAAATTGGAGATAATCGGTCAAAATTTAGACATAGTTGCCATATATATCTTCGTCCGATTTGCCTTTTATTGTGCACCAAACGTGTAATATCAGTCCGAATAGTATGGAATTTTGCACGTATGATCAAATTGGACCTGAAAATAAGTATGCCAAATTTGATCGAAATCGGTTCAGATATATTTTTGTCCTCCGCAGCCGTAATATGCACTCCGTAGCAACAATATTTGGGGAAATATATCAAATGCAGATCAGAAATACCTTTGCTAAATTTTATCGAGATCGGTTCAGATTTGGATATAGCTCCCATATATAACTTCGTCCGATTTACCTTTTATTGTGCACCAAACGTCTAATATTTGCCCAAATGGGATGACATTTGGCACTTACGACCGAATTGAGTCTATAAGCTAGTATGTCAGATCGGTTCAGATATAGCTATAGTTCATCCGATTTATTATATTTGTTACCCACAGCCGTAATATACACTCCGTAACAACGATATTCAGGGAAATATATCAAATACAACTCAGAAATATCTTTGCCAAATTTTATCGAGATCGGTTCCGATTTGGATTAAGGTTCCATATATATATTTATCCGATTTCAAATTAATTGTGCACCAACTGGGCAATACAAGTCCGAATTTAAAAGATACAAATGCTTCGGCATTTGAACTTTAAATTACAAGTATAATCATGGCATGTATGATTGAATTCTCCCATAAAAACTTTTAATTGTTATGCGGAGCTCTACTAAATTAGAAATGTGGTGTAGGGTATCATAAAGTCGGCTCCGCCCGACTTTAAGACTTTCTATACTGGTTTACTTCTTTTTTACTTACATTCTTCCCGTTTGCACGGCTCCATTAGCTGGTCAAATGTACCATTCTCCAGACAGTGCATTATCTGCCGATTACTAAAGCGATTCTGGAATTTTATTGAAGCTCTGGTATATCCGGATGCACAACGAACTTCCACTGTACTATTGAAGGGTATACCGTTTTCATACACATATGGTTGCAAAAGTTCATCCCGCGAAGAAAATACTTCATATATAGTTGACGGATCATTGACAAGGCTCGTATTGCAAAAAACTTTAAGAAAAAACACAATCGATCGATAAAATATGTTTCATACAAAACTATTTTGTCGAACCTACCCCTGCAATTTGGTAATGGATCTGTAAACACCCCATCTGAACAAATTAAACCGTTTGAATAAGTTCGAACGTTGTTGATTATGCATTCCACGAAAACGTGTTCATTTTCATCAACAAATTCGCCAGGTTTCACTGTCTCATTGTCGTGCTTATGACGTATTATAATGGCGTCTTTAAGATCCATTGGTGCCTGACAGGCTTTCTGATCGTCTGCAAAAGAAAAAAATATTAACATTACGGTGTTCTATAAAACATAATTCAACAAACTAAAATAATATGAATTTGTATGCCCTTCACCTTGAAAAGGAGGTTATATTCATAATAGGCATACAATTCTAAGCAAGGGTTAAAATGCTAACGCCAAACTAGCAATAGGACTGAACATTTTCAGCCGTGCCTGCTAAAATTTCTTCAAAAAAGGTTGCCGTTCAATAAGCTACGCCAACAAGTAGCAACACATTCAAAAACCAGTAAAGAAAGTCTTAAAGTCGGGCGGGGCCGACTTTATGTTACCCTACACCACTTTGCTAATTTAGTAGAGCTTCACAAAACAATTAAAAGTTTTTATGGGAGAATTCAATCATACACGCCATGATTATACTTATAATTTAAAGTTCAAAGGACTAAATAAGCCGAAGCATTGGTATCTTTTAAATTCAGACTTGTATTGCCCATTTGGTGCACAATTAATTTGAAATCGGATAAAAATATATATGGGAGCTATATCCAAATCGGAACCGATCTCGATAAAATTTGTCAAAGATATTTCTGAGCTGTATTTGATATATTTCTCTGAATATTATTGTTACGGAGTGCATATTACGGCTGTGGGTAACAAATATAACAAATCGGATAAAAACTATATATGGGAACTATAGCTATATCTGAACCGATCTTCACCAAATATGACATTTTAACTTCTAGACTCGATTCGGTCGTAAGTGCCAAATTTCATCCAATTTGGGAAAATATTAGACGTTTGGTGCACAATCAAAGATAAATCGCACGAAGTTATATATGAGAGCTATATCCAAATCTGAGCCGATCTCGATAAAATTTGGCAAAGATATTTCCCCAAATATTGTTGTTACAGAGTGCATATTACGGCTGCGGAGGACAAAAATAACAAATCGGCTGAACAATATATATGGAAGCTATATCCATCTCTGAACCGATTTCGATCAAATTTGGCATACGAATTTTCAGGTCCAATCTGATCATACGTGTAAAATTCCATACTATTCGGAGTGATATTACACGTTTGGTGCACAATAAAAAGCAAATCGGACGAAGATATATATGGGAACTATATCTAAATTTTGACCGATTATCTCCAATTTCAATAGGGTTCGTCCTTGGGCCAAACAAATGATTTGTGCAAAATTTCATCTGGATAGGGAATAAATGCGAACTGTACTTTGTTTACAAAAATACATGGACAGACGGACAGACGGACCGACGGACGGACATGTATGAATCGATTTAGAATGTGATTCTATGCAGGTCATCAAAAGGAACTATGGGTCTATCTCGTTTCCTTTTGCCTGTTACAAACAAATGCACAAAGACTTAATACCCTGACCACCTTGTGGTGTAGGGTATGAAAATTTCCGAGAGAGCTAATGCTACTTGAAATCGTCAGCTAACACAAAATAGCAATGAGCGGCTGAAACGAAAGCCAACAAAAACAAATATTATTTTTTTTTAGTTCATGAGCAACATAACAATTTCATTTGATATTTTCATATACAGGGTGAGATAAAAAAACTGCAATAAAGTCAAATGCCATAATTTTTACATTTTTTTTTTAATTTTGTTGAACGAAGGCAATAAATGTCGGAAATAGCATCATATTTTAGAATAAGTTTAGATTTGTTCGAATTGGTCATCTTTGGCATGAATTATAGCCTTCAAACGGCCAATGAAACAGTCATACGCTGCCAGAATGTTGATCTGCGGTATTTTGGCCCATTCCCGGCAAAGCGCTTGCTTGAGGTGATCAGCACTTTGAAATTTTTTAGTGCCAAACTTGCTTTCCAAAAATTATCGCTGCTGATATAGCTATAGCTCCCATATATATGTTTCATCCAATTTGGTTGTTAAGTCCCTCACATGCGTAATATGCACTCCACAACAATGATATTTGATAACGGTCATCAGATACAGCTCGAAAATACCTCTTCCAAATTTGTCGGGATCGATTCAGATTTTTATATATAATAATTACGCCTATTATCCACCATATATGTTATATCAGCCCAAATTGATAGATTTGTATACCCTCCACCATAGTATGGAGGGTATATTAAGCTTGTCATTCCGTTTGAAACACCTCGAAATACACATTTTAGACCCACAAAGTATATATATTCTTGATCAGCATAAAATTCTATGTCGATTTAGCGATGTCTGTCCGTCCGTCTGTGGAAATCACTCTAGCTTCCGAACGAATTAAAGTAAATTGATACAATTTTACTCAAATGTATTTTATGTCTGCAGGACTTTTGGTATTGAAAATGGGTCATGTAGGTCCACGTCTTCGTATAGCCCCCATACAACGGTACCTCCCGATATTTAGTATTTTGACGATTTTAGCGACATTATTAACCGAAATTATTTCAAATTTGCTATTTGACGTTCGAAATAAATACTACAGTCTAAGACAGAAAATTATCTGTGCAGGTCCACGTCTTCGTAGAGCCCCCATATAACGTTACCTCCCGATATTCGGTATTTTTATTATTTAAGCGCCATTATTCACCGGAATTGTTTCAAATTTGGTATTTGAAGTTCGAAATGAATGCTACAGCCTAGGACAGAAAATTGTCTGTGTAGGTCCACGTCTTCTTATAGCCCTCATATAACGGCTCCTTCCGATATTTAGTATTTTGACAATTTTAGCGACATTTTTTACCGGAATCGTTTCAAATTTGGTATTTGAAGTTCGAAATGGACA